TTTTTTTTTTTTTTTTTTTTTTTTCGCTTGGTAAGCTACAACACTCAGAGAAAGTCTTCTACTCTTTTGGATGATTTAAACACGTCCGCTGACGCAAAAAAGAAAAAAAAAAAAAAATTACAAAAAAAGAAACTTTCAACTGGATCATAACAAATATAATAAAAAAATGGCGTTTCCAAATGGCCAAGACTTTTTTCCCCTTCGTTAAAGAGGTTGCATTAATGCCATAAAGAAAAACTCGGCATCGAGGATGTTTATTGGATGCCGCATCTGAGACGCCGCATTGGCCAGTGCCTAATATAATTTATATAAAATATTGTACCTTAAATATTTTGCACGGCCCTGTACCGCTATAGTATTTTTCTTGCAATTGTTCAGGTATGTTCTTGTCCATGCTCGTATGCGCCGGCATGCTTTTTATATCTTGTACACGTATACGGGAAAGTGAACAAGTAAAAAGTAAAACCATAAATGGATTGCCTCGAAATTGTTGATAAAAAATAGTTCAAAGGAACAACTATTATATAGCAAGCCTCTATTTACAATTTTGGCCAGTTTTTTGTTTTTACGCTTCTGGCATTTCCGTGCGCCAAAGCATCGTTTTTTTTTTTTTTACTGAACGAATTTGAGCGTGAATAAAAGCAAAGCGGCAGATTTGTTTCAGTTTTAAGTTGAAAAAAAAAAAAAAAAAAAGAGGTAGACTTTTTTGATGAAAAATTGAGTACATAAAAAGCATGTACACCAAAACAAACGCGCATTGAGATTGAGCGTGTTTTACAAAGTGGAAACAAAATAAAAAATAATAAAACAAACAAACAAAAAATTTAACTTTGAAAGAGGGATGATAGAAGGACTTCCACAAGTTCGGGGTTGTCCATATAATCGTAGGTGCTCTCGATTCTGCTATCTCGCGGTTCCGGTAGCTGCAGTGTACAAAAAAAAAAAAAAAAGAAAGAAAGAAAGGGAAAAGGGGCATATAAAAAAAAATGAACCAAAAGTTAACAAGTGTGGTATTGCAGAGAAGCGTGTACACATTATCAACACAAGAATATATGTGCACTCAAGATGAGAGGCGTCCGCTGTAGTCACGTGACGCAAGGCACAACAAAGGTATGCCGCCTCATCCACGTATTTATTTTCTCACCATGAAATTCACTAATTTGGGAATGGGGTCAAAAGATGTGATTTTGCCCTTGTTCACATGCTTGCTTTCATCTGCAGGGAAAAAAAAAAAAAAAAAAAAGTACACATATGATATTGTGTAATATTATGCATTACACTGAATATATATAAAATGGGGGTAACAAAAAAAAAAAAAAAAAAAAAAAAAAAAAAAAA